TTAGAATGAACTTCAAGAACACCTATCAAGAACTCATCAAGAACTCTAATATATCAACTTCAAGAATGAAATTTCGCTGAAAATAACATGATTGGCGTGTGGGTGAACTAACCCAACACTATGGAAGTTTACAAACCTCTTAGGGATCAAACCCATGGCGACAATCCGCAACAACTCTCAAGAATGTCGACAAACGCCTTCATCCTTTCTCTTTTCTCCTCTTCTCTCTTCTTCTTTTCTCTTCTTGAACTCTCAACTAAAACCCTAGGCGTAAACTAGGATTATAAAACTGAACCTAATCATATTAGACCCCTAAAATTTACTAAAAATGAATTAAATCTAATTGGGTAAGGAAAAGACCAAAATACCCCTCTAAAATCCGGTTTTGACTTTCCTTAACTAGCAGCCTAACTTCAAAAGGCCATATCTCACTCATCCGAACTCGAAACTTAGAAAACTCGGCGGCGTTGGAAAGATAATTCAAAGCTATTTCCTACGGTATATGGTAGCACACCTAACTCATCCAGAGATATGAGTTATGGTTGTTTGAAGTCGACCCAAAAGTCATACTTAGCTTAACTTGCAAAATTTCAGATTTTGCTATTTCCAATTTAATTCTTTTTGGAACTCAAGGTGCTACATCTAATGACCTTAATACTTAAGAAATTTTAATTCCTCGATAAAATCTTACTCATAACGAAGGATGGTTCAAGTCTTAGCTCAATTTTCTGGGGTGTTACAGATTCTTTTTGTGTGAAATCTTAAGGAATAAACTACTTGAACTCCACTTTGTTGGTGAGGATTCGATTCCCCATATAATAATCTCCTCACCATTTCTTTTTTCCCTACCCCCAATTTTAAAAGGAAAAAAAGAACCAATAATCGATAAATTAATATTTTAATAATTTTACAATCCTTTAACATATTTACATTCTACAAATTAATAATCGATAAATTGAATTTGAAAATCTCAAAAATCAAATCGAACTGATCAATAGAGAGTCCTAAGCGTCACCACAAGTTTGTTTAGTATTTCTTTTTTTTATACTTATTTAAATTATGTAAGATTTTTAATTGCTTTAAGAGCCATAGATAATGTCATAATGACATGATCCAATTCCCAACCATTTAAAACTAAATGGACACATAACATCCCATTCCATAAAATATCTATTATTCTGTTCATGATTAGGATTTTGTTTGATTAATTAAATCTCAATCACTATATTTTAATCGTAACATGTGTCACTTATCTAAGTAAGAGTTTGGCAAGTGGAGATCTATGACAAGTAGAGATGAGAAAAGATAAAACTGATTCTGAATTATTTAAATCATATGAAGATATAGAAGACAAATCAAGAATACTATTACTGAATTAATGGAAATTTTGTTACTATGAAATTCATTTTTAAGATAAAGGACAAATTAGCTAGTATAGTTTGAAATGATCACAATATTATAAAATGATTATTCAACATTAATGGACATATTCCGATTTTATTTTATTTTGTGGACAATTTTATTGAATCATGCTCATAATCATAACAATACTAACACATGTAAAGGCATATGACATGTTATTCTATTAAAAAAAATTTATAAGAATTAAGTTTTGCTCTACTCTACTGTGATCTATCCTATTTAAATATTTTTCTGTCCGCCTTATTAAGATTTTTTCTATTTTACCCCGTCGTAATTATCATTTTAATTTTCTAGTGATCAAAGTTAAAAAAAAAAAAAAAAAAAATCTTACAAGTAAATATTCAACATTAATTGTTCTTCTAAGTTCTAACATACTTGACATGTTCCTATTTTCCCCCATCTATTTTTATTTTTACTTTTTAGTGATTAAATTTTTAAAAAATAAATCTTACAAGTGAATATTCAATATTATGACTCCCCCTCCCCCCCACACACACACAACTCTCGCTCTTATCTCCATGATATTTATTTAATTAATCATTTATGAATATTTTAAAAATGATATCTTTTTATTTTGTTTATTTAACACACATATACACATATTGTCACATACTCCATTATTGTTTTATTTAATTTCCTCTTTTGGCTAAACCATGTTCTAGTTTGAATAGTATAAGATAAAATACATAAAGTGATTATTGAAGTTGTTTTGAAATTTTAAAAAGACACCTTAATTTTGTGGGTGTCCTATTACCCCACGAAACTATTTCTAACAATTATAAATACACCATTTTAACTCATTCTCAGAGCAGCTGTAATCTCACGTATTGGGGGCGCGTGAATGAAAAAAAAATCACCCTCAAGCCAATCTAAAAATGTCACGTAGCAAGATTTTAAGCCTTCATTTTCTAAAAAAAGTTCAAGAAACAGAGAATTTCTTGGTCAATGCCTTTCATGGTGGTTGTTGAAGAACAATTTCATATTTACTTAAGAATTTAAGAAGATTTTATACGATTCCTAAGTGAAAATCTTCACTGTTATGTAAACAGTGAAAACGAAGGATTCCGCAAAAATCTCATATCCAAAATCTTCCATTTTTCACCTTTGCAATAACTCTATTTTAGCTCATTCCATCTTCGTCTTCTGCAATAACAACAAAAATAGAGCTACAACGGCAATAGAATAACCACAAAGTTAAGATATCTTTTTGAAAATATAAGACAATTTTAATGGTGACTTTATGTCTTTTCTCTAATTATTAATACTTGATATGCTAAAAGTTGGCTAGATTTGTTTTTTTGCAACAAAGAAAGAGGCATGTGTTCACTGTACCTTCGACTCAATTAAAACAATCGACAAAGCTATTGATAGAGTCAAATACGTAAGTTCGACTCAAATAGTAATTATTTTTTTTAAAAATAATTTTTTATTTTATTTAATTAAAAATAGTTCTTAGAGATAATATATTTTAAAAATTTATACGATATTATTTTAAACTTGGTATAATATTTAAGGGTTTTTCAAAAAAATTGTGATTTAAAATCATTATTAAATATTTATGTAGCTAAAAGAATTTTCATTAGATGAAAAGAGAAAATTTTAAAAATAAATTATTTTTAATTACAGAAAAGTTATACTAAAAATAAAAATATGTTACACAAATTAAAATAGAAAAAATAATTATTAATTAAATAATCACGATAATAATCAAATCCAAACATGCGTCACTAAAATTTTCAGTCATCAAAAAGATACTCTTGATGTGATATATGTTATAAAACTGAAAAATCGTCAAAAATATCTTTTGAATTATACAAATTGAATAAATATATATAATTAATAGTTTAATTTAAAAATATGTTTATTATCAATAATTTAATTCAGAAATATTATATAATGCGTAAAAATGTCTTTTTCCTAATATATATATATATATATATATATAATTAACTAAAATTTATTATTAGAAAAAGAATGTGTCTAAAACGAAATGAAATAATATATTGAATTATTTGAGAAAAGGGTATATTTGACTCATTAAATAATTAAAAAAAATTTAATCAAATTATTAACGAAAGTGATATTTTTTAAACAAATGACATTTTTATTCAATTTCACATAGTTCAAAATATACTTTTTAAACTTTCTTCTGTATAATTGGTTAAATAAATGGTCACTGAAAAAATAGAACATCTCATTTTCCTATATTCAATAACTTCTCTTATAGTCACAACTATTATCATAGACGCTTACCACGTTCATTTTTGAAAATCCATGCCTCCTTTCTACTCGGTTACCACGCTCATTTTTGAAGTCTCACCCAACTCTTTTCCTCAAAATACCTCTAAAAATCCGATTTTTAATCCGAGTTTGAAAATCATTAATCTTGATTCATCTATATTAGACTCAAAACTAGAACTGTTCAGAACAAACAACAACATATTCAGTATAGTCTCACAAGCAGATAAGTCCTTATCTTGTGAAGGTACATAAGTTGTTTTTGATAAATCCTTGACTCAAGAATTGATCAGAGCCAATGAAGATAATAACGTCTTCGTAGCTGGAAAAATGTTAGGGAGTTAGGGAACATGTATGTTAGGGAGTGTTATAGTTAGAAAGTGTGGATTTGGAAAAATGTTGTCAAACGTTTTAGGCTTTGCTACAAGTGAGGATGCTAACAATTAGTTTAGATAGAACTATTAAATATTAATTCTAAGTTGTATGTCAAAATCTAGAGTCATCAAAAGATTCGTGAATACAAGTGTTTCGTATTTAAGGGGTCGTTTGTTAGGACGTATTAGAAAATAATAATACATATTTTACTGATATATTGTTCAATATACTTTTTCAATCTATGTAATACATGAAAAATCATGATATTCGCAATACAAGAGGTTTAAATGTATGTATTAGCATTAATACAATTGCCTCATAACCTTTTCCACACACATCCTTTCTGTTATATTTGTGGAGGGTATTTTTATGAACAAATAAGTAATTTGTTTTAAAAATATGCCATGCATGTTTTAACAGTTTGTCAAGCTATCTGACTAAGGAGAGTGTTAACACATCTTCAACAGGAGCAGAATATTTTGCGATAATAAAGCAACGATATCTCCATAACAAAGAATTAACCCAACATTACATAGAAGGATTAGTTACCATTAAAGTGTGTGATGTATTATAATATCGATATTTTAGGATTAGCTATTTATTTCTTAGCCCATTTATTATGTGGACATATTTTGTTATTGTTATATTTCTAGTTTATCTAAAACAAAAAAAATTCAGACGCAACTTTCCTTCTCGTTATTTTTTCTAGTCTATGTCCAATAATAATATAGGGACGAAACAAATAATTTGAATTTAGACGCAACTTTCCTTCTCGTTATTTTTTCTAGAGTTTTCTTTGCTCTATGTCCATTAATAATTTAGGAAAGAAACTAATAATTTGCGTCATGTTTTCAATACCTTCTCTCATATATGGACAAGTTTACTATCAGACAAAATAACAACTCATTAAAAAAAAGGTTAAAATTGCAAATCAAATATCTCCATTGGCAACTAAAGTTGTTGTTCTCTTATAAATCATCATCATATGGCATGCACAATATACCACCATTTTTAACTAAAATTAAAGTTCTTATATTATGACAACTCCAATAATTCAACCATCCATTAGTGTTAAAACACTTTCTGAATCACCAAATCTCAAATCTATCCCTTCTAATTATGTTAACTCTGATATCTATCCCTTTGATTTCATTGCATCTAAGCCACATGATTATTCAAACTCCATCCCCACCGTTGATTTTTCGCTACTCACATCCATTGATCCTCATCAACGGTCTCAAGCTATCAACAATCTCAATAAAGCTTGCCAAGAATGGGGATTTTTCATGGTACACTATAATATGTTTTTATATTATTATTATTTTTTGGTGAGGAACTATGAAACTAAGAATATTACACATAATTGTGTGTACTTCTTTTGTCCTAACTTATGTAAAAACGTTGAGTTGATTTCAAAATGGTTAGTTTTTATCTCAGAAAATCATGTGTTCTTTTTTATAATCATTTTCTTCAACAAAAAAATTAATTTTCTGATATAATAACTTTTAGTTGATTGATTGGACAAGGAGTTAATTTGAGGATGAAACTTATGGCTCTTAAACAAGTCATACATATTTATATTTATGTAGTTATGACTCATTTCAAGTAAAGGTAAAATAGAATTAAATTGTTACATGCTAAATATAAAAAAATGTCATTTTTTTCTAGACAGACTGTTTAACAGACTAAAAAGGAAAAATAATAATATTGTATACCTAAATATGTTTCATGGTGAAGGTGGTAAACCATGGGATACAAGAAAGTTTGATAAAGAAAGTGATTGATGGTACTCAAGGATTTTTCAATTTAAGAGAGGAGGAGAAGAAAGAATTTGAAGGGAAACATGTTTTGGACCCTATAAGGTATGGGACAAGCTTCAATACCTCTAAGGAGAAAGCTTTCTTTTGGAGGGACTATCTTAAGGTGTTTGTGCATCCAAAGTTCCACTCTCCTAGCAAACCCGATCGATACAGGTATACCAGGAATCTTAATAGCTCAGTTTGTTGACTATACTTACGTATAACCATTATTATTATTTTATTTCTCTTTTTTTTTTAATAGTGATATTATGTGGGAGTATTGTGAGAAAGTTAGAGAAGTAACAAAAGTATTACTTGGAGGACTATCACAAGGCTTAGGACTTGAAGAATGTTATTTGGAAAAAACTCTAGAGATGAAGTCAGGATTTCAAATTTTTATTGCAAATTATTACCCATGTTGTCCTCAGCCAGAACTTGCACTTGGTATGCCACCTCATTCAGATCATGGCCTTTTAACTCTAATTATTCAAAACCAAGTTGGAGGATTACAAGTTCAACATCAAGGCAAATGGATTCATGTCAATGCACTTCCTAACTCTCTCTTGGTCAATACTGGTGACCATCTCGAGGTAATTCAATTGATTGACTATCTGAATTGTTATCTCATCGGTAAGGGTTCAATTCCCCACCTCCTAATCCCCTTAAATTAACAGATAATTTTTAAAAATATGTATTGATTAGTTTTCTTAACTTTGATACAATTGTGATAGGTTTGATCGTAAAAAAAGTTGTATGCTATCCGTCTAAGTAATTTTTAAGGAAAGAGGTCTGAAATATATCTAAATATTGACCGAGTAACAATCCCAAACTTTGGGCAGGACCTATTACCCCATGCACTATTTAATAGTGTATTTTAAAGATATGTAAATGTCCAGCTGGATAAGTTACTATTTATAATGATGCAGTATTTATGATGTCCACGTGGACACCTATATATCTTTAAATACACTATTAAATAGTGCAGAGGGTAATAGGTTCTGCCCAAAGTTTGGAATGGTTACAGTAATTTCGGTCAAAATTCGGATATATTTCGAACCCTTTTTCCTAATTTTTACACTACTATAAAGTCATCATGTTCACCTATTGTAGGATGCAACATGTAACGTTTATTTATTTTCAAGATTTTAAATTCCACATTTGATTCATTAATGGAGAATTTCAGTAAATCAATTGATTGACTGTTTGAACTGTCACCTAGTTATATGTGTGTTTCTATTGCTTGGTAGATTTTTAGTAATGGGAAGTACAAGAGCAATGTACACAAAGTAGTGGTGAACAACACAAGTCCAAGAATATCAGTAGCTGTTGCTCATGGACCATCACTAGAAGCAATTGTAAGTCCTGCTTCCCCATTGGTACAAAGTGAAACCAATTATATACCAATGAAGTACAAGGATTACATGGAGATGCAACAAAGTAATCAACTTCACCAAAAATCCATTCTGGAACAAGTCAAAATTCAAAGGAACTGATAATTTTTTCCTAATATATATTGGGAAATATTTATGTAATAATGTTAGAATCTTAATGTACTGATGCTTATTATTGAATCCATTACATTTGTGTATATATATACACAATGATATTGTATTTTTATATAAAAACAAGGGTGACATTCAGAATTGCAACAATTATAAGAGTATCAAGTTGCTAAGTCATACAATAAAAGTTTGTGACAGGGTGGTGGAGATGAGGGTCATATGAGGAGGGGTGTGACTATATATTTTTGTGACCCAGTTCAGATTTGTATCGAAACTTTCCAGTTTTGATGGAGTTGAACTAAGGATCAACCCTTAGCTTGTTTTGTATACTAACTGAATACTTCCTAGAAAATAAGTATGTATATATTTTAGATTATTTTAGGAATATATGTAGTCCGATTAAAAATAAAAATTGAATATAATAAATAGATAACCCCTAGTTCCACCTTAAATTTTTTTTTATATATATATATATATATATATATATATATATATATATATATATATATATATATATATACTTGAATTATAGCTCATATATTTAAATTATTAAATATATGAGAAATATTTATTGAAAATGCAAGGTAGAAATGAAACTTATTTCTTGGACACATATAATAAAGTTTCTTTCTTAACACATGCATTTGTCTAATAATAATAAAAAAAGTAGTGTAACATCACTTTCATGGTTAGCTATTCAATCTTCTAGCTGACTTCCTTTGAATTTGAATTTGAATTTGAATTATATACTTGATGCTTATATATAGTAAAAAAAAGTTTTAAAAAATGTGGGATGTGTGTCTCAAATATGTCCAAGTCTCTTCATTGTCCATTTTGTACTCCATAACAGCTATATATATATATATATATATATATATATATATACTTGTCCAGTTGCAATTATAAAGTACTAGTAATTAGGGGTGTATGTAATCGGGTTGGTTTGGGTTTTTCAAATATCAAATCAAACTATTTGTGTTGGATTTTCAAATTTATAAACCAAACCAAACCAATAAAACACGGATTTTTCAACCTCGGGGTTTTTCGGGTTTTTCTGTTAAAGTATTATACAAACATATAATTTACTTGTACTTCAAATATTTCTTTAGTCCTACCAAAATACAACTATCTAAGGTGTTTCTTAAGAAAATAACACAAAATATGATATGATTAATGACACTAAAATATCCAACAAAAAAAAATAATGAAATCGCGAAAAATAAATATTGCAAATTAATAAGTCATAATGAAAATGATTATAATTTAAAAGTACTAAATAATGCTAAAATAAGTCTAATAAGTATTAGCTACATGACTAAATATTAAAGGAAATAAAAATTAGATTATGTATTTTAATTGTCTAAACCAATGTAAAACTAAAGAACAAATATTCAATATTATTGTCATTCTTAGTGTTGACTTGATTTTCCTTTTTGCATTAGTATTAATTTGATTTTGATTTAAGCTTTATTATAGTTACCAACATCTATGAACTATAATCTTTATTGGACCATTCAGAATTCTAAGTTTCAAACTTGAAATAATATATTAAAAGATAAAAACTATGAAAAAGTATAAGAAATATTTAAAAATTATATCAAAGTAAATATTTTTATGTATAAAATAAAATTTTAAAATTATCTATATAATGTCGGGTTGGTTTGATCTCGGATTGTTTTTTTTAGTTAAAACCAAACCAATCCAAATATAGTCTTTTTTTTTTCAATACCAAACCAAGTCTAACCAAACTACTAGTCAGGATTTTTTTTTCAATTTGACTTGATTTGCGATTTGGTTCGATTTTCTATTCAATTTTGTATACCCTACTAGTAATAATAGTTGTTGAGACATTGAAGGAAGAGTGAAGTAGCTAGTTTACTTCACAATATTATCTTTGACGGTAAAAGTTTCATGGGTATTTTATTTAGATATCGATATTTAATCTGTATTTATTTTTTAAAATTCTTTTGGTACATTTATTAATTTCAAAATTACTCTAGATATGTTGTTTCTTATGTGGTATTTGAAGTTACATATATTTAAAATTCAGACGTTTCTGCCACAAATTTGAATAAAAGTAACTATACCTTGGCTATATGTTTGTTTGTTTTGCACTAGAGAAGATGCACCTGTCCAATGTACTAGGTAGAGGCTTTCATTAGATCGCGATGTACGTATTATAAAGTTGAAGTAACGAGTTAAATGGAAGGTGGCTAAAGCTATAGACGAGTCAATAATCAATCAGGAGCGGACCCACCCTTGGCCAAGGGGTATCAAGTGACACCCCTTCGCCGGAAAATTACATTATATATAGAGGTCAAATTTTGGTTTAATAAATATATATAAAGTATTGACACCTCTTAACACAAGTGAAAAGTTTAGTGTAGTGGCTAAGGGGTTGATAAAGTTCCGAAATTTGAGTCGAAAGTATCTAATGCATAGGAATATTTTATCTAATATTAAAGTGCTCAATCAAAATAATTCATAATTCTAGTGTCTAAATAGAATGTACTAGCAAGTGTAAAATGTTATCGTTTTATTCAACCAAAAAGTCATGGATTCAATAAGGTAGATCTGGCATGGTTGGAGCTTCATTGTCCATAAAATGTTCCAATAATTTCTATATAGATATGGTATTTATATTGAAAATATTATTAAATATATAAGAACTATTTATTAAAAATCAAATATCAGCTATATATGTCTCAAATATGTCCACGTCTCTTCATTATCCATTTAGTACCCCATAACAGCTAAAGACGAGTCAATATTCAACGAAAAGTTATTCTTGTGTGATGTGTTAAAGATAAATATATATTTTAATAATTAAAAAAGTGACCCCTCTCTAGACAATATCTTATAAAGAACTTTAGTTTCCTAATTAGAATAAAGGGTCACTAAAAAATAGTAACATATTATTGTCTTATCATTTTCTTTTATAGTCGCAACTATTATCATAGCTTACAATACTTCCAAATATGGCTGAAAAAATCAGTTTCAACACTCAAATCTTTGGTAGAGTCCGCCTCGCTACGGAATCGGACGTGCCACATCTCCACAAACTCATGTATCAAATGGCAAAATATCACAATTACACTAAAGTTTTTAATGCCACGGAAGCTTCCGTTACTACCAATCTTTTCAAATCCGATAATCCATGCCCTCCTTTTTACTCGGTTACCACATTCATTCTTGAAGTCTCACCCGACTCTTTTCCTCAAAATACCCCTAAAAATCCCATTTTCGACCCAATTTTGAAAACTGTTGATTTTGATTCACCTATATTAGACTCAGAATTAGAACTGTTCAGAACAAACAACAACATATTCAATACAGTCTCACAAGTGGATAAATCCTTATCTTGTGAAGGGAGAGAAGTTGCTTCTGATAGACCCTTGACTCAAGAACTGTTCAGAACAAACAACAACATATCCAATACAGTCTCACAAGTGAATAAACCCTTATCTTGTGAAGGTAGAGAAGTTGTTTCTGATAGACTCTCGACTCAAAAACTGTTCAGAAGTACTAGTAATGAAGATAATAACGTCTTTGTAGCTGGCTATGTTCTTTTTTACCCTTGCTATTCGGGTTACTTTGAGAAACCTGGTTTTTTTATTGAGAACATGTTTGTTAGGGAGTGTTATAGAAAGTGTGGATTTGGGAAAATGTTGTTTTCTGCTGTGGCATCTCAAGCAATTAAAATGGGGTTTACTAAAGTTGATTGGCTTACTGTTGGATGGAATGAAAATGCAATTGATTTTTATCTTGGGATCGGAGCTTATATTATGCAAGAAGTCAAACGTTTTAGGCTTTCTGGTGAAGGACTTGATGCATTTGCTACAAATGATCAAGATGGTGGTGACAAGGTTTGAGTCGGGGGTCTATCGAAACAGTCTCTACACCTTAGAAAGATAGAGATAAAATTTGCGTACATTCATTTTCTCTATACTCTAATTATGAAATCACACGAGATATGTTATTATTAATGGAGATGATGACAAGTTTAGACAGAACTATTGTAAGTATATAAAAAAATCTTTGTTAGCGGCATTCTCCCTTCTATCTATCAACTATTTCATTATAAAACTTTCTCCCCGAACTGCGGAACTAACAAGTCTATTAGAAAGTCGAATTAGCCACTTTTACACGAATTTTCAAGTGGATGAAATAGGTTGAGTGGTCTCAGTTGGGGATGGGGATGGGTATGAAAGAGTCCACCGCCTGCCTTATTAGTCTCAAATAAGGTGTGCATACCTGCTTTCTAAGTGGATTGGTTCGAATTTTTCATTTATCAAATTAAATAATGTTGGGTTAATATCTCCAAATCAAATAAAAAAAGTGTTTTACATGTTTTTTCCCAACTTAGTAGAAGTATTAAAAACTTTACAAGATACAATCAACAACATAAAGCTTATGCTTTACTTAAACTTCTATCACCCCAATGTGGTAAGTGAAGGAGTTAAAAAGGGACGAAGTAGACCTAAAATCATAGACTTCACTAAAGATAGGCTACTAGGAGGATATGTTTTAGACTCAGTATAAAATTTTTATTATTATCAATTTATTATTAGAATTAGTATTACGAATATTTTTCCTATTTCAGCTTGACAATGATCTTCTACTATAAGATGATAATCCATTGGCATATTGTAAGGTGATAATATGTAATATACTTTTACACATATGGTGTGTTTGGTAAAGACTTGAAAAATAAGTAGGTTAACTTACACATTTTTTTTTGTTTGGTAACTAAAATAATATTATCTCAAGAGTAACCTACATATTTTTATTGTTTGGTAAGAACACGAACATTATTTTAAGAGTATTTATATATTATCTAGCGAAATACTATAGGGTGAAATATGGTGTGGAGTGGGCTGCGGATTCAAGGGTTGGGATGATTAAGTGGAGGGATGTGGGGTATTGGATGAATGATGAAGAGATAATGAACTTACAATGTCACTTTGTAACTTGTTTTCCCTACTTTGATTAATCAAGTCATTTTCCTTATTTCTAAGTAACTTTCTTTTCCTAAAAAAAATATTTTTTGGTGTACCAAAACACTACCAAAGTATCATATAATTAACATATACTTTCATAAGATAAGAACTACGATGAGTAGGATTTCCAACCAACTTTACTAACTCGAAGAACAACTTCAGATTACAACTCTACCAGGTGTCACACCCCAAATTCGGATGTGATGGCACGTGTCCATTTCCCACCGGACACATCAGCCTAACCCAACCACAACGATATAGAAGTAGAAATACGATAATAAAAGATAATAAACAAGCGGAAGACTTTAATTAAGACTCAACACTACCCAGAATTTGGTTGTCACATGTACAAACCTCTAAATACAGAATTCGAATAAAAATATACAAGTCTCAGAGTAAAGTTCTCGAATAGAACAAAACTGAAAGTAATGATAACTCAAGGGCACGTTTGGAATGAACCGCTACCTCTCGAGTATGTCCCGAAGCTCAATCTTCTAAAGAAAATACTAAGCCGAATCTGAGAGAGAGTTGTCAACCTACACAATTGTGTAGAAGCAAGGGTGAGTACCGAAAACCACTGGTACTCGCAAGTAACTATAAACTAAGCAAAACTAGCAGCTACAAACAACTTCTTTCAATCCCAACCGAACCACCGAAACTTCAATCTAACAGCAAACCAACCAACCTATACCAAACAGATCATATTCAACAGCCAGAACCAACAGTATATCCTCATCAACCTCAGATCAACAAATAAGAGCAAGCAGATCAAATTCCACATAAGAAGGGTAAACCGATACAATCCACACATCACAGACAAAGATAAGACAAATGCGATGCAAAATGCAATAATGATGTCATGTAGTCATGATGCATGTCTGTCCTACAATACACATATGTTGATGTAATCAGTCCGCGCTGAATACTCAAATCAGAACCCATGGGGGCCACACATGGACCATGTATCACCGTCGAAACCAGATCCCATCGGCATCCAAATCACTAGCCGAAGCTAGTCCATCTCATATATCTCTAGCCGGAGCTAGTCTCAACTGTGTCTCATATCCATCCATCCTCATATCAGTGTCTCAGAACTCATGCAACAGATAGTTCACACATGGGATGAATAATGAATATGCACATGTCATCAATCACAATCATATCACGATCACATCATAGTATTACACATCATCTGTCTCAATCACAACCATATCACGGCCACATCATAGTAATACACATCACATGTCTCAATCACAACCATATCACGACCACATCATAGTATTACACATCACCTGTCTCAATCACCACCATATCACAACAACATCATAGTATTACACATCACCTATCTCAATCACAACCATATCACGATCACATCATAACACATTTAGCTCGTTTTATTCCCCATCTTTCATTTACAACAAATTTCAATCAACAAATAAAACTCATCCTCAATCCCCATTACTCCCCAACACAATTAGGAAAGTAGTCATGCGTAGTCTAAGAGTTTTAAAAAGTTTGGAAGCCACTTGCCTTAAAACGAACTCCAAAAGTTACTTGACTTGAGCCTTTCCTTTCCGAGTAGAATCTGGATCACGATAATCTATTCAAACAATTATTCACAATCACAATTCGAGTCCAATGACACCAAAATCAAGAAATTTAGGGAAAAAGGGCAAAACGGTCCAAAAGTCTCATACCGGAAAACGATACCCAAATCTGGAAATTTTTGATGTAAAATGATCCTTAAAGTATTTGGAAGCTAATGGTGAAAACTAATTTGAAAACGGAGTTGAAATCAATTCACAAACTCAATTTGAAGGAAAATCTACGTTCTTGAAGAAGCCTAAAATATTCGGATCCGAAACCCCGACTCGAAAATGAAATATCTCTTGAAAAACATCTTACCCATGCTTAGATAAGTTCAAATATGAAATTTCATCAAAAACGGAGTTAAGATCGACCTTGAAATTCTCAATTTATCAAACTTTAACTTTACCGGGAAAGCCCAAATTGTACGCGGTTAATATGATGAAAATAATCGATGAATCAATAATTTTATGTTAAAATCAGTTTACCCATAACATAAGGATCGTAAATATACCTTTTTCATCAAAAAGGGAGTCCAAATCGATAAAACCCCAATTTTTCCCAAGAGGTTTACGGATAGGAAAAAAAATCAGATAAAGAAATTATGAGAAAATGTCGAATTGAAGATTGAATACTAACCCTCATATTAATTCAAGAAGAAACCCGTAAGAATCACTCCATTCCGATCTCTAGAACTCCCGATATGCTCAAAATACCAAATGAACACAGTCTGAGATTTTTATAACAGTGCATGGCTGTTATGCACCAGCAAAACAGCAGTTAATCTTTCACTAAAAAGGCCGTAATTTCCTCATACGATAGTGAAATGACCGATTCTTTTTTGTAAATGTCTTAAATAATGATACGGACCTGCTCGTTCAATCGGAGCTCAATTTCATGCTCGTTTGCCCAGTCAAATATCATTTCTACTCGGTAAACAATTATTTCTTATTTGCGATAAAAGTCCAATCTCGGGTTAGCGAAAATGCACCAAAAGTTACAGATAAGTCCTATAATTCATGCTCAAAATTTCAGAACCTTCGGAATAATTTTTCGACCTTTAAAACTAATAATGAACCCTTTAGTTGCCACAATTTGCTGAAATAGTATCAAAGCATCCAAGAAGCTTAAAAACTTACCCAAAACTCATTTGGCACTTCCCGAACACAAACCAAATATGCTACTAGCTTGAAAATGACATTTCGGACTCAATGAAATCGTCGGAATTTGAATTCGAGGTCTCCTTGACCCGGTATCCGATAAGGCGTCAAGAAACTAACTTTAGGCTCAAAAACTCGAAACGTACTCGGGGCCTCTAAAAATTCAACCAAGACTCATACTATACTTAGAATCACCCCCTGAATCCAACGGTGCCCTCGGAATTCCATTTTGAGCACCGAAACCTCGTTTGTTGACCAAAGTCAACTCTTGATCAAAATTTCACAATTTTAGCAACTTAGGACCTCAAATCTTTGTTTTAACTCCAAATTCGACTCCGTAAATTCTCATAGACCCGTTTCGACATTCTAAAACTGCTGGAATCGACGGAAATCCGATTCGAGTCTCGAAACTCCAAATGACTCGAAATAGCACTTTTAACCAAACTTTAACTCTTAAACACTCAACTTTCCAAAAAATTTCCTCCAAACCAACTTCGAAAAATACAACAATTAGGACTCGGGGCAACTATCGGGAGGGGTAAAACGGTCATTTTATGAAAATTTTCAAAAATGACCTTTAGGGTCATTACACCAGGTTCCTTATCCAGAATTCTGCTGGATGATAAATTTCAACCAAGAATTGGAGATTTTGGCCTAGCCAGGTTGTTTTCCCTCGAAGATCAAGAATATTTCAAACACTACATTTGACTGGACACGAAATTCAAGAATAAAAGAAAAATTCAAATATTAAATCCTAAGAAGAACCCAAATGTAATTTTGCCGATGAACCCAGATGTATTTTTGTCATGTAAAAGAAATCATCTTCGTCCTTGTTTTTCGCGTGCAATATTTGGAGGCACAATATGTTCTTGATAAAGACAAATATGTTTTTTTAAGCACAATAAGTTTTCCATGGTGAGACTCAGACACATCATTACTAAACATTATTTTAAATTTTTAAGTGTCTTACTTTGATTTTGTCCTCATTTGCATCGAGAAACCGTTTTATAAACACTGAATCAAACCAAACTGATCTAGTTTGGTCAAGAATTCAGTGCACGCTTCTTAAAAACTAAACATTAAAGAATTGAACCAAAATTTCAATAAAACCGAACCAAAAAACCAAACACCCATCCCCATTCCTAGTTGGGGTAACTTTAATTATCTTCTCTCTATATATATATATACCCGGTGTCCGGCTCACATTGGAGCCCCAACTAAATCAGGATCGCGCACTGCACAGCCCATTCGGGGGTGACACTCCCAATAGGATTTTCTCCAACCCAGGCCAAGGCTCGAACCCGAGGTCTCGGAGGTGGCACTCCCAACATGATTTTCTCCATATCCAGGGCTCAAACCCGAAACCTTTGACTAAAGATGAAATATTCTCACCAATGCACCACAACCCACGCTGATTCCTATATATTTTATACCTAATCTAAAATTTGTGCTTACGAGGAGAAAAACAATACAAGAGTTGGACAGGAAAAAGGAAAAAAAGATAAAAGGAGAGAAAGACAAATGGAAAGATATATGGAGATGGAGGAAACAAAGATTTCCTCTAATGTCCTCCAACCACACCCACACACACAATTCAACCTCTTTCCACAATTAACCCCTCTTTTTTTCCCTTCCATATATGGGGTTTTATCTAAGTACCCCATCCACATTATCCCTCTTGATAAAATGGACCAACTATTCTTCAAAGATTTGATTTTTTTGATGTGGGTTTGAGTATTCATGAAATTTTGGGGCTTTTTCCCTTGGTGGGTATGTGCTAGTGAATAGAGATGAAAAGGTCTGTTGAGGGTTTCAATGGAATTAGTTTTGTTGATGAAGAAGAATCCAAGGTGGAGAAGCTAAACCAGAAAAAGCTGTTAAATGAGTTATTAGAACTGCAAAAGGTTTGAACTTTTCTTGATTTTTATGTTTTTGTGAATCCTAATTAGTTTGATTTTAGATTATCTTGTTTGTTCCTTTTTCAGTAATCCCCATTGTGAACTTGTCTAATTGAGTTTGGTAGTTATTGTGCTGTTTTTATTTGTTACTTTGAAGGGGTTGTTCGGTATAGTGTATAAGAATAATATTCAATAGGGTGTATTAGCTGTGGTGGAGCTAGGAATTTGACGAAGGGTATGCAAAATTAAATATATTCATAATAGCTAACATTTTACCTTTGTACAACACATAATTTTCCGAGGAAAGGTGTGCACCGGACTGCCCTTCGCCCAGAGGCAAGCCCAGGATTAGAAGACTTCGGGTGCATCAATATTACCTTAGCTCAAATATGAGCTCTAAGCTAAGCTTAAAATAAAAACAATAAAAAAAATTGAGCTCTAAGCTAAACTTATAATAAAAACAATGAAAAAGGACTTTAGCTGGATTTGAACCCTCGTCTCTGGGTGATTCTTCTAGCTTGTACCAGCAACACAAGGGCACTCCTATGCTTCTCATGGGTACATTGTTAACTAAATCCTAGTTTATGCCAGTTTCTCAAAATAGATATATATATATACACATGATTTTTTTCGAAGTTAGTAGGTGCACGTGCACCCCCTCCAAAGGTGTGGGTCCGCCTCTACCTTTTCCTAAGGTGGCTCCGCCTATGTGTATTAGTAATGTTGAGATTAGTTATGTTGGGATTATGTCTATCCACTGTTTGGTCAGGTGTATTAAGGTTTGCTTTGTCTTTAACCATGCTTATCCATGTATTAATAGCCTTATATCGCTAATACTATGGTTTGGCTATGCATTAGTTATACATCGTTTAATATTGAATAGGCATGTATTAGTTATATATAGGCTAAAAATCCTACCAAGCAAACAATTAAGTAATATCATGAATAATACATGTATTAGATTAGGATTCTGAATTGCTTTTTTCCCGTGTGATTATTGACTGTTCTGTAGATGAAATTGTGTATTCAACTTGATAATTCTGGATGTTAGTTGTGTGATGATGGTGTGGCAATTGTGTATAGGATTTTGTCTCCAAGAAGAGGAAGTTGCAGGCTGCAAAGCTGAAGAAAGAAAACATTTTGGGTGAAATCCTGTATGATCATAATTTTCTCAATCCTAAAGTAGTTAGATTCTACTATATGAATCCTCTATAAACATTTCGTTCTGTTTTAGCCTGTTTCATTCCAATGCTCGATATTTCTTCTTTTAGACACGTAAGGGGTTTTCAAGAATCGGAGATTCTCTGTATCTCACACTATATGCATATATACAATGACCATACCTTAATCTCAACTAATTGGTATCACCTATTGTGGATACTTTTCTTTTCTCTTAAATGATGTAAAGGGACAAAAAAGAATAGAAGAAGAGTACAATAACAACATAACTAGTGTTATTGCACACGCTATGTTGCCCGGACAATCCAAAAGTGTTGTCGCATCCGTATCGAATTCTCCAAAAGTACACTATTTTTGGAGTATCCGACGCCCATCAATCGTTATTTTTGAAGAGTCTAAGCAATATAGTCCATAAGTGGGGTCTTGGGAGGATAGAGTGTACACAAACCTAACCTAACCCTTACCTCGTAGAGATAAAGAGGTTGTTTCTGATAGACTCTCAGCTAAAATAAAGCATTTCAAAGCCGTTTGAAAAAAGGAATAGAAAAATGAAAGCAGTAACAACAAAAAAATAATGCAAAATTGAGAGTAGCACACAAAACATACAGAAGAAGAGTAATGTCCTAATATCATACTTGTTTAATTTCAGATTCTTAAAGCAAAGGCGTAGATACTTATTGAAAAGCCAATCTTCCGATGACGATAATGAAAAGAACATTTCACATTTAAAAGAACACTTCGATGCTGAGAGTGAAGTCCCTAAAGTAGAAAGATCCAACAGTGGCTATGATGCAGTAGTAGAGTCAGCTCGTCCTGCCTTCACCTCAAAGTTCAACTCGGTAACATACTACAGTTAAGATATGTCAAAGATTAGAATATTCAATGCTTTAAGAGTTATCTAAGTTTAATTAATTATTCATGTTACAGGAACATCATGAAGTAGGATACGAAGAACTGTTAGCAGGCGGGGACGTGTTAAGAATGGAGTGTGTGCCAAAGAATTACAAAGAAGAAACTCTCCTGGCATGGTCAAGTCACATTGAAGGTCTAAAATTCTGATATATCTTTCTTTAAGGAGAGTGATCTCCATAACTTATCGATATCTTATTCTTGATTCCCTTTTCGCTTTCCTCCTTTGTTGCCACGGTGAAACACATTAACTTGGAGTATGCAATATCTGAGGTTGTCTAATCTTTTTCTGGGCATAATTTATTAGCCATGTGCTTATAATTTGCAGTTCTGTAGTTTGATAATATTGGTTTGTGTTTTCAAGTGTCTACGATGTGGCGTGGTACCTTTGCTTTATATGCAGAGGCGGACTTAGGATTCCTAATAATGGAATTCAAAAGAAGTCATACTAAAGTGGTGGTAATGGGATTAGACCACAAAATGTTACTAATGGAATTCAACCATTAGTAATCTTGAAACTGTACTCTGTATTTCAAGTTGATTTTGGGAGCGTAATTGTGTTTATATTTCCAGATTACAGGTCGCGGACTAGCCTTCGATGTGTTGTTTGTGTCTTTTTTAACTATACTTTGACAGTAAGAAGCTTCCCATTGTGTGAGAGTTTTGGGAAGTTGCACATGGAAAATGGCTTTTTAGCTCCCACATTTACTCATTTTCCCCACTTTTAAATGCACTAGTTTGATTGACATGGAGTTTTAAGCGCGATATACGTGCATCTGAGGGTGTAGTTTATTGGTCAATGAAGTAGGTGCAAACCTCGGAGATCATGATTCAAATCTAAAAGAGATGAAGATAAAAAATTAGGTGATTTCTTCTTATCTGCCAAAAACTTGGAGGACAGAGTTATCTAGTACTTGTGTTGATGGTTGCTAGAAGCTACACAATGGAACAATCGAGATGTGGCCAAGCAAGCTCGAGCACCACCTTGTATAAGAAAAAAATGAGCACTATTTTGCGATGCTATGGAGTAAGTAGCTATATGAATCTTCAATGTCCATATTGCTCCATTTAAAGCTTATCCATCTATTTTGAAGATTCAACATAACTTTGACTAGATTTACTCTGAATCTCAAGTTACCACAACCTTTCTCCTCCCTCAGGACTGACAATGTAAGCAAGCTCATACTTGGAAGTTGATTGTCTAAATTTATGTGACTTATCGTATAGGGTTATCGATTCAGGAATGGCTGCATTGGATTGTACATTTAGTTACTAATACGCTTCACCGTCCTTCATGCTTAAGCATATCATGCTTGTAGTTGTTGTACACACCATTGTAGTGTATATACTTCTCCATATGCAGCATAAGGATACTTATAGAAGGGAATATGGTTCTCAATGTTACCTGTTAATTGAGTGGAAAGAGGATATTTTAGACTCGGAGGCGAATTCATGATTTAAAGCTTATGAATTCTTATCGCAATGAAAATTGGGTTAACAGTCAAATATTTATATGGAATAGCTATTAGATTCTCAGAAACTCGTACATAAAGGTTTAGATCATAATATTTTTTGTTTTATGAAAATTTGTTAGGGTAAAATCGAAAGCTTAAAAATATAGTATTGTTTTCCAAAAAATTACGATCACATAAATTGAGTTAGAGGAAATATTATTTCTTCACTTCAATAAATAATTCTTACCGTAAAATTCATGTGGAATAATTTTCTTTAAAATGAGGAAAATGACTTTAAGTTTTACGAGTGACATTCCATATTTATTGTATCCATTCAACACGCGTCATTTTCACCTTCATCCTTTTAGCCTCATTCCAATTTCCCACCCTCACTCCCAACTCTTCTGTTATTTATCTAGATTATATACAAATATCTTTCTTCGTACCAAACACACCTTGAAAGTATGTAGTTTCCTCATTATGTCATAAAAGTATTTTATTTTTTTATCGAGTCTTGATTTCTTATTTTATCCTCAACATTAATAATTTATTTTCTAAATCATTTTTCAAGATCCAAAGACAATATATCAAATCATCAATATATTTAACTGACATGTAACATCTTAAGTGAACACATGAAAGTGAACGGAAGGAGTGCTATTCATTAATTTAGATAGACATTTTTGCTATTGCTATAAACAACAATGTCAATATGTCCGAGTGGTTAAGGAGACAGACTTGAAATCTGTTGGGCTTCGCCCGCGCAGGTTCGAACCCTGCTGTTGACGTTTTTCTTTTTCTTTTTTTAATTTTGAAAATTAAAAATATTTAAGAAATAAGTCCTTCCGAATTGTGTTTTGATTAAACCAATTTTGAAAATTAAAAATATTTAAGAAATAAGTCCTTTCGAATTGTGTTTTGATTGAACCATTAGATCTATATCCTGATTTTGGAATCATAGCAGAAAGAATCATCGAATTTTGAGTTCATATGAAAAAGTTATGATCTTTTTATCAAACTCTGCTAATCTATCGACATGCTTACATAATAAGCTAGTAAATCCCTACCTTTATTTATTTTTTTAAAGTTCAAATATAATATCCATTGAGACTAATAGTACTAGATCATCCACAAGTTTAGGGCCACCATTGATGTATATTGTAATGAGTAATCATGTGTCGATAACGCATGATTTTTGTGAATAAGAAAATAAATAAGGAGAAAAGAGAAGAATATTTTTTTTTTTGAAAGATTAATTTATAATGAAGAAAACTTTTTTATTTATAAGAAAAAACTGACTTGATTCCTAACTAGGATTACTAACAATCAACTCACATAGCAACAATGTAAATTACTACCGTTTACAATTAAATCTAAAGACATTTGCTTCTTTTTTTCCGTACGTAAGCTCAAGTTATAGTCATTTCAATTTATTGTGTCTACGACTCTTTAGTACATATTATAATTAGACATATTTTACTATGATATATATTATTTATCTATACTATTAAAATATTACGTATTTTACTATTAATGAGAAGTTTTCAACGTATCATACGCTTATATATATACAAATACACAAAAATAAGGAGAGAGGCGAGTGAGATTGGGGAGGGAGGGGAGTTGATTCGAATGCATTTCAGATATATGTGATTCACACTAGACACACACTAGATATATGTATTTGTATGTATCTGAAATTCTTATGTATCTGAGATACTGATAACATGGGAGAGTGGTGAGCGAGATGGGAGAGAGGCGAGCGAGATTTTGAGGTATTTGGTGGAGTGTATTAGAAGAAAGTCTATTGATATTATTTAGTATTATGTTTGATAGGAATTTTGGTCCTATGTATAACTAATATTAGTTATACACTTTATTTGATATTATAGGGTGCATAACTAAGATCTTACATTTTGTGGTATTAGTAATACATATGATCTAATATCATGAGATTAAAAATGAACACAAAAATACCCCTCAAATCTTTTTAATCATTTTGTTTATTTTCTTGATTTTATGTTTTATACTTGCACTGGTAAATTTATTTACATAAATTAGCTTACGAATTTTGTTATTGAGAGAGAGTTGTTTGTTGTTAAATAAATCCAATACAATATTTAAAATGTGATTTGCTTAACATTTACTAATTGAAAAGACAAATATATGACCACATAACGTTTGCGATCTTAATTGAATGTATTATTTATTTGATTGTATTATTAATTGTGTGTGTGTGTGGGCGGGGGGGGGGGGGGGGGGTTCCTGATTTTTTTTTGTATTTTCAACAATTTATTAAATTGCACACATATTAAAACTATAACTTGCAAATTTTATGTGTAAACGTAGATGGTTTATTCGATTTTACTATTGTTTATCATCTTTTCGCTTTTAAAAATAAATTATTTATCTTTTTTAAATTGAAAATTGACATTTGTGGGTGGTCAATTTATTAAGATGACAATTATTTACCCACAAATAAATCAAGTGAAAAAATAACAAACATAACGATAACATTATTCTTCTCTTAGCTAGTTAGAAGGCCACAAAAAAATAATATTGTCCGATAGTTATCTACCTTAATCCAATCATAGGAAATATAAAATCTCATAATAATTCAAGAATATAATTGGAAAGAAGCTTTTTGTAGAGTTTTAAACCGAATACAAAATTAAGTGGGAAGCAATGAACCAAACGCTTGATACAAAAATAATCTCTGCATTACGAATACATACGTTACTAATTAATGCATTATTAATCTTTGTACCCAACGACCACTTAGCTTATTATACTCTAATCCTTATCATCTTATCTTCCTTGTTCCTTCCATGAACTCCTTGGATCGAGTCCATTAGACTCCATATTTTTTTTTCTTTACATTTTGGACATTTGTTAAACTTAGACATTTATCTCTATCTTATTTTGTTTATTTGATGATATTAGTTCTAACTTTAATTTAATTTTCTAAAGATGAACCAATTTTGTATTATGTTGATTTATTTCAAATGCTTTTCATCTAATGAATTTTTTTTAAGTAAGCTAGATTGTTCAAAAATAGTTAGATTGTTTCAAGTTAACTTTTTTTCTTATTGACCTAAGAAATGTTTTTACCTTACTTTAAATTATTATTCAATGTTTGTTAAATATTTTTAGTTAAATCGATGTATATATAACCACATGATAAAAGACATTTTAAATGCTAAAACCTTCTCAAAATGAAAATATGAACCTCTTATTCAATTTCTCTAAATTTTTAAAAGATTTATTTGTTAGAGACTTTTTAAATTAACTTTTTCTTTTTCTAAATTTAATTTCTTCAAATAATTATGTAGTGACTCTTTCTAAGTATATTTTTTCTTAATTAATTTTAGAGTTAGAATATTTCAAAAGTAATTTTCAAAAGATCATGACACATAACAACCACTGCACACTCAAAAGAAATAATATTTTTTTTTTATTTTCCACCCCACTAAAAATATCGCTCACATTTCTTCAAAACCTATTTTCTTTATATAGCCTATAATATACCTCACTCTACTCTCTAATTTTTCCACCTTGTATTAATTGATCAGTAACCAATTTCAACAAACGAGTATCCATTTTTCACCTTGAATTAATCAACCTATAGCCAATTTCAATAAACGTATATACCCTTTTAACTTTAATATTTTTTAATTAAAAAATAGGAAAAAGATCAATTTATTTTATAAAAAAGATATTATAGACTTTTTAAATTTCTGGCCAAATATTTTGGCCATTTAGCATTACCCATATTTTATACTATTTTGTGCACTCTCAAAGTTCGAGGGTATAAATGTCAACTGAAACTAAATTAAAGGGCACATTTATGTATTATATCTTTTATAAATGTATTTTCATTTAAACAACATAAACGATGTTAATTAATATGTAGGTACCATATAATTGTTTTACATATGTAATTGTTAATGTAGGGACACCTTGTACATATAAAGACAATACATGCTAATAGCTTCTAAATTTTGAATTAATTACTTTTTATATAACTTGGGAGATACAATGTCAGAAATTAAAGACATATCATACCGTACTAATTAAGATGTTTGATTGTTGATGTAGGGACACCGACACACATAAATATAATCGGAGGAGTTTGATTTTTAAAATAAAGTTTGGAAGTGTAAAAATCAATTAGGAAAAAAGGGAGAAAATTATTATATTGCATTAGTAATATACTAGCTTATAAGATCTGAATTAATTTTTTTTTTTTTTATTTGATACGAAAATAATTATATCGCATAAGATGAGATATGGAGGTGAAATTTAAAATAATGACATTTAAATAGAAATGGAGAGAGAGTAATAGTTATACTTCTTTGGCAAATGAATTTTTACTTATAGAAATAGAGAAAATTTAGAGGTATGGGACAACGTTATGGAGGGGGTGGGGAGGTTCTTTCTGAAAAAGAGATTTTTGGGTGTGATGCTGTTGTAGCGGCACTAAATAGACACATTAAAAAAGAGTCCTAAAATTTTTACTGGTATTAGTTAAGTGTTATTATATTCACTGATCCAGTGTCGCTAAAGGCTTTGAGACATATACAAAGAGTAGTAATTGCCGCTAAAAATACATATTTAGGTACAATTAAGCTATTGTCGTTAATTAATTGCCACTAAAGATAATTTTTTATGTAGTGTGAAGAAAAAGATCAGATAAGGGGAGGGTATAAGCTATTTTTTAGAACATTATTTTTATGTTATTTAGTATTAATAGATTTTAATTTTTTTTTACTTAATTATAAAATGTCACGTGTAATCATTTAATTAGTTATTTGTCATGTCATTATCGAGCGTATTACACTATTCTAATTATTATGTTTGTTGATTGTGAAAAAAACATCAAAATGACAATAGAATCCTACCATGAGTGTTTAAATGAGCAAAACCAAATTGAAATGTCTAGGTGAAAATTGATATCAATTTCTTGAGACGGCCTATAGATTCCATCGGTTTAAAAAATAGTCTAGATACATATAACTAAAAGCATTTAGTTGGCATTTAATATCCAAATTTGGTAATTTTTTTTGAATTATTTTTAAATAATGTAAATTTCATTTTAAAAAATATATATTTAACTTCATTTCTTACTTGCTAATCTCACGATAATCACCGGCTAATAATTGAATTTAACAAGTAGTTAAATAAAAAATGTGTATCCTTAACCTCATATAAATTTAATTTTTTTTTACTAAACAATAACGTGTTAACCTTGTATAAAAATATATATATAATAGTATATACACAAATATAAGCTAACCAAAATATAATATTTTTATATTAAATTGTGTGGCATAAATATTTGAAAAAAATTACATAAATACACAACTTAAGATATTATAATCTCTAAAATTATCTACCATTTAAAAAATTACAAAAATCCCCTCTTGGATACATCTCTATCTCCTCTCAGATACATCTCTATCCTCTCTTGAATACATCCCTCCCATTATGAATCGTTATGTATCCGACAACAGAGCAATGTATCTAACGCCACAACAAAGTAGAGACCAATGTATCCTACACAACAAAATCTTAAGTAATGTATCAGTTGCAATGTTTCGGACATCCAAGGAGTGTATCTGAGAGCAATTAAAAATTGAGATTTTTGTAATTGAAAAAACTTCTGAAATAAAATATAATTAGCTCCTAAATACATGTGATTTCTGTACTTTATACTAAATATTTTCCCTTACTAGGAGTATACAACTTTTAATTTTCCCCTTAAAAAGTTAGTGGTGTGTGCTTGGGAGAATCTATTTATATATATAGTTACTTGTTGGGAATCCAAAAGGCATCAACCAATATGGGGATGCTAATAATACCTATGGCCATATCTCCACCTATTACTACCAACATTTTTTCCTCTTTCTGTCTAAGAAAACCTTCACTAGTTATATCAAAAGCCAATCTTTCTACAATCCCTCAAAATCATACTAGGCGTTCTGGGAATTACAAACCTCCCATGTGGGATTTTCAGTATATTCAATCCATTCACAATGATTATGTGGTATATATATTTTGTCCATTTTAATTTGCTTTCTTAGTTTGCTTGTTTTATATTTGTTTTAGAAGGAATGTCTCTTTCCTCTTTGACTACTCTTTTAATTTCATTTTTTCACATGATATCACTACTAAAAAATGACTATTTTTCCTATTGAAAAATGTTCAGTGGTTGTCTTCGCAAGTATTTTGATTGGATTAGTGAGAAAAAGAAAAAAAATGGTAATGTTCTTATATGAAAAAATTAGGAAGCTTCTCGCTATAATTCAGTTAGAATTTATTTCTCATTATGCATTTATCTAATGAACTGGTTTGATGAGAAATGAGTGGGAAAATCATGCTCAATAGCACAATTTCCCACTGATTCACGATGAGAAAAACCTTTATTTCGAGTAATATATATTTAAGACAACAAGATTAAATGACATTTTGATATATTAATTATATTTTATGTATCTTTAGTTAAAAATCATAAAATTCAAAAGTTAACTTTATTTTTTAATACTCGGCATCAAATCAAAACCAGATGAAGTATATACTGAGCATTTGTACATGTGTTGTATAGGAAGAGGAGTATATGAAGCGTTTTAACGAACTAATGAAGGAAATGAAGAAGAATTTGATGGTGATGGTTGAAGGATCAAGGTGTGTGCTAGCTTATTTTAAGCGGCTCGATATTATCGGTGGTCTAAAGTCAAAATTTTATTGAGAGAGCTTTATTTTGTTTTTCAAGAAAAATATTTATAAAAAGGAACAAGTGATAGTTACAAATAAAACTCGCAAAACTTTGATAGTTTAAATATTTATTTTACCATTATCTTTTTTTTTTAAAGAAACTTATAACCATATTATTTTTTAAAAATAATCCCCTTGAATATTGGGATCTTAAGACACTTACTTTTTTTATTTGTCCTTAAAGCCACCCAATTGCTTCTTTATGTTTCCTCCATTTTAATTTGTTTGTCTTGTTTTGATTTGACACAGAATTTAAGAAAGTACGTCCTCCGTCCAACAATGCTTGTCCACAATACTAAAAATAGATGACCAACAATACTTGTCCACTTTATGAAATCCATGAATAATTTTACACTTAGTTCCTAATTTATCCTTATTATTAATTATAGTCATTTGCCTATTACATTTTTCAATACATTGTATTTATTATATTCAAAGGGTGATATAGTAAAATCACCCTTCTATTTATAGTTTCTTAAGGGATGTTCCAACTTAATAGTGGACAACTATTATTGAACAGATGGAGTATTAAAGAAAAAAATTGATTAATTTTTATAGTCTTAAACATGTCACACTGAAAGTTATAATTAAAGAGTTGTAAAAAGGAAAGAGACTAAATTAGCTATAAAAAAAAGAAGAAGAACAAAAGAAGTAGACCAAATTGAAATAAAGGAAGCACTACATACATGCTCTGACAATTGACATTAATTTCTTGTTATCTTATGATTAGACATGTTGGGCAATTTCAAGGATGAGAATGGCAATTTGAAACATCAAAGTTTTTGCAACGACACAAAAGGTTTATTACAATTATATGAAGCTTCATTTCTTTCGATGGATACTCATGAAACCACTACTTTATTGGAGTCACATCTAAAGACTTATTTGAATAATAATAAACATGGTCATGAAGACAATTATGTGACTATTATTGAAGCATTAGTCCGCCATGCATTGGAGCTTCCTTTGCATTGCATGATGTTGAGAGTTGAGACAAGTTGGTACCTAAACATTTATGAGAAAATGCCAATTTCTAATCCTCTTTTGCTTGAGCTTGCTAAGTTGGACTTCAACATTGTTCAAGCAACACACCAACAAGATTTAAGATATCTATCAAGGTGAGATATGTAATATTTGTACACTTTAAGTGTGTACAAATAGACACTTAAATTTGTATAAAGTTGAACAAATAGACACAAATTTCCTACATGACATCCTACATGACATCCTACATTGCAATTTGTGTCCTACGTATATTATGTCACGTAAGACCCATATGTCTACTTGTTCAACTTTATACAAGTTTGAATGTCTACTTGTGCACACCCAAAGTCAGAGTTAAAACAAAATTTTCTATGATCCAATTTGTACATACAATTTTATTGCTTTTGCAACCTTTAATTTTCTTGAAGCTAGATTCATCTCCAAATTTTTTCATGTTATTAATTAAGGTGGTGGAAGAGCTCATCCCTGGCAGAAAATTTGCCATTTGCAAGGGATAGAATTGTTGAAGCTTTCTTTTGGATAGTGGGGACAATGTTTGAGCCTCAATACAGTAACAGTAGAAGAATGTTGGCCAAGGTGGCTGCTTTAGGTACTCTCATAGATGATATTTATGATGTCTATGGTACACTTGATGAGTTGGAACTCTTCACTGATGTTGTTGAAAGGTCTGTAACTTTTATCTTTTGTTTATTTAGAAACAAGGTAATTAAAAACGTGCTATGTTAAGAGTCAAACTTCTTAATTTTGATTGTGAATTTACATATTTTTGAAATAAAATTTAGAGTGAAGGATCAAAAACACATTTAAAATATTTCGGTTATTTGAGTTTCGTATCTTAACTATCAGGTGTGAATGTTAAGAGTCAAACTTCTTAATTTTGATTGTGAATTTACATATTTTTGAAATAAAATTTAGAGTGAAGGATCAAAAACACATCTAAAATATTTCGGTTATTTGAGTTTCGTATCTAAACTATCAGGTGTGTGAGTTTTCTGCCTACTATTTACCAAAGATATAATACATAAATATGCCTTTTAACTTGGCTTCAGCTGGTTGCTATGCCCTCCAACTTTGGGTGTACACAAGTAGACACTTAAACTTGTATAAAATTGAACAAGTAGACACACACGTCCTATGTGACATAATATCCGTAGTAGGACGCCACATAGGACACAAAATTGTCTTGTAGGACGTTGTAGGATGAATGTGTCTATTTGATCAATTTTATACAAATTTAAGTGTCTACTTGTGCACACTCAAAGTTGGAGGGCATAGATGTCAGCTGAAGTTAAGTTAAAAGACATATTTATGTATTATGCCATTCATCAAAACACATCTCAACTATCAATTGTTCAATTTTCATACCTGAACGATAATATGAAAAATAAACTGTTGATATATAGTACCTTAGATGTGTTTTTGATTGTTCACACTAAATTTATTATATATTTAGAAACTACGTAAAAATTACTACATGTCATCACAATAAGTAACAATTCAAAATATTTAAATAATGATCGAAGAAAAACACATTTATCTCGAAATTTGAACACCGTCACATCAAAATTTTCGATTATCAAGTAAAATGTGGTTTGTGGTTGTGGTTGTGGTTGGTTACATTCAGAATGGATGTAAAAGCAATGGATCAACTTCCAAATTATATGAAAGTATGTTACCTTGCACTCTTCAACAGTATCACCGAAATTGCTTACGAAGTTCTCAAAGAGCAAGGGATCAACATCATACCCGACCTTACAAAATCAGTAATAAAAACTTGTTTTAATCTCTAATTTGTCTATCGGGAAAATGAAGCAAATATACCCGTTAATTTTGCGATTTAGAGCGAATATATTCTTTGTTAAAAAAGTGGTGTAGATATACTTGTTGTCTAACAAATGATGCATATTTATCCGTTGTTAGACAACAAAGGTATACATGACTAGAAACAAAGAGGCTAAATTTTCTATCGTGAATCAATGAAAAAATTGTGTTACAAAACATGATTTTTCAACCCTATTCTCATCGAACTAGTTCACTAGGAAAATGCAGAATTGGAAACATATTCCCATTAAAATACTTGGAAGCTTATTCTCAATTTTTTTTGTTAAAACACTATTGATCCCTCTGTCAACTTTATGTGACACTTTTCTTTTTAGTTATTCCTAAAATGAACGACACATTTCTATAATTAGTTACAAATTCTTTTAAAATATTCGTTTTATCCTTAATGAGATGACTTGTTTTAAACCACAAGTCAATAATTATTCATTCTATTTTAAACTTTGTGCCAAGTCAAACAACATACATGAATTGAGACTATAGGAGTACTATTTTTTCAATACTCACTGACTCTATCAAAATATCTGTTAGAATAACCACTAAACATATTTCAGTAAGAAAATAATGAATTTTTAGTAGTGACATATACATCACTTCTTCAACGAGGAATATATTAATTCGCTTTAAATCGCAAAGTTAAGGAATAAATTTGCCCTTATTCTCTTCTCTCTCTATATACATATATATTTGATACATGCATCCATGTTATTAATTAGTGGGCAGATTTGTGCAAAGCTTTATTAAGAGAAGCAAAATGGTACTACAATGGATATACTCCAAGTCTTGAAGAATACATGGATAATGCATGGATGTCAATTGGAATTCCTGTGATAGTAATTAATGTATTCTTTTGTGTCACAAATCCAATTACCAAAGAGGCAATAGAATCCTTAAGCAAGTATCCTCACATAATTCGTTGTTCTGCTACAATTATTCGTCTTGCTGATGATTTGGCCACATCAATGGTATGTTTTTGACCCTTACATATATTCTTTCCGTCTCAAAATATTTCTGGTTTATTTTTTTAGGTATAATATATAAATGTATTTTTTAAACTTAGCCTCATTTTACATATATACTCTCCAACTTTGAATGTGCATAAGTAGATATTTAAGCTTGTATAAAGTTGATAAAGTAAACACATGAGACTTACGTGCATGTACATGATCACGTAAAGTGCAAATTGTCATGTAGGATGTCACGTAGGATGTGTGTGTCTATTTGTTCAACTTTATATAAGATAAATGCTACTTATGCACACTCAATGAAGGGTATAAACATAAGCCAAGGCCAAGTTAAAAGGCATATTTATGTCTATTAAAAAACAATGATTGATATGAATATTTTATCATAATATTCATACTAATTGATGTTTTAAAAAATAATTTGGAAAATAAGTAATTAATGCTAAGTGTAAATCATGGAAAATAACAATCGTCTTTTCCAATAAATAAAAGTGAAAATGTATTTTATTTTTAAAATATTAGACAAATAAAAGTAAACAAGTACTCCCTTTGTCCCCTTTTTACTTGTCCAATTTTGACTTTTTACTTACCATTTTTTGACAAATCAAAAAAAGACAATGTTTCTTTTTACCTATTATATCCTCAATTTATTTATAGAATTAATATTTTTGAAAAAAGGTAGAACCTCTTTAATAAGTAAATTGATTTTGGAATTCTATCAATTAATAGGGGTAAAATGGTAAATTCACTGTCATTTATAATTTTCTTAATAGGCGTGTCAAGTAAAAAATGAATAAATAAATAGAGACAGAAGGAACACTACATCAAAAATGATTTTTAGTGGTGATTAATTAACGACAATAACTTAATTGCCATTAAAAATGTATTTTTAGTGGCATTTAACACTCTTTGTAAATGTCCCTAAACTCTAAAGCCTATACCAACAATAGATCCAATGTCAATTAATTAATGATGATAAATGCTTTATCACTCTTTTTTAATATGTATATTTATTACCGCTAAAAATTGTTTTTGTTATAGTGGAGTAGGACAGAAGGAGTAGTGTATATTATAGATCAATAATAGTTGTTTACCTTATTTATTGAAGCAACCAATTCTATTATATTATGAATAGTAACCTATAATTTATTATTCTTTATTTCAGGATGAAATGGAAAGAGGTGACGTTCCCAAATCAATTCAATGTTACATGAATGATCATAAGGGTGCCTCTGAAAAAGAGGCAAGAAAACACATCAATTATTTGATAAAAGAGACATGGAAATTGCTCAACATATCTCAACATGATAATTCATTATTCTCAAAATCACTCATTGAATGTGCAATAAATATTGCAAGAACTGGACAAACCATTTACCAGCATGGAGATGGACATGGAATTCAAAATTATGAGATTAAAAATCGCATTTCCAAATTATTTTTTGAGCCCATTAAATATTCAATTCCATAAAGTCCTACCTATAATTTTTATTTTTATTTTTTACATATGCATTCTTAACGAGTTATTCTAAGTGTGTAAAAAATAAAACCATGTGTGTAATAAAAGTATCTATTGTAGGGCCATAATAATTATATTTTACCGTCTTCTTTTCGTGCCATATGTGCTTAAACTTTATTGTCTCTGCTTTTTGGTGTGCCTCAAGTTGAGGACTTGTGTGCTTCTATAGGATAAGGTACGAATGTGATTTCAAATAGTATGCAACTTAACGAAAATGCACAACACATAAACATATTGTTTAACTTGGTCTTAACTGGGGTATATATTTCTTTCAATTTTAAGTGTACACAAGTAGACACTTAAACTTGAACAAATAGACATACACGTTCTACGTGGCATCTTATATGACAATTCGCGTAAGATACACTCAAACTGATTTGTAACGTAGAACATGAGTATCTTGCTTGTTCATCTTATATGACCTCTCTCTCTCTCTCTCAATTTGGCTCTCCTCTCTCCACCCAACATGTAGCTAAACACAATAGTTTTTAATACAATTGTATTCATTGATACAAATTAGTTATATCAATTGTATTTGTGATACAACATGATAAAACAAATACAATATGTATTCAACCTCTCTCTCGCCTCTCTCACATCGATCTCTGTCAAATATCGTTTGTCTCTCTCCTCCCTGTCCTAGCTAGTCTCTCTCGCCTCTTTCCTCCCTCAACATGTAGTTATAAATCATAGTTAAGCAAATGATACCTATGCATCTCTAATTAAGCCCAAACTATAGTCATTTCTTCCAAGTTTTATGTGAATTTAAATGGGTTGAGGCCCGGATGAACTTTATTTTCTATTTGACAAATTAAAAAATCAATATTGAGAAGTTGGTATGGTATGATAATTTTGTGCAATAATTGGCATACCTTTTTTTTCTTTTTTTGGGAAAAACTACATAACTACGAAACATTACTCTCCCTATAGTTTGAAATAGTTACATGTAGTCTCACTAATTAATAATTTAATACCAGATTTCAAGTCAGATACATCTAGATACATATATGATACACTCTAAAAAATATATATACATAAGGAGAGATGCATGGAGAGGGAGATGCGAGCGAGAGAGGGAAAGAGCTGGGAAGCAAGAGAGTCTGTGTATCCTAAGCCAGTGTATCTCAGATACATGTGAATCCACTTGAATAAAGTGTATCTCAAGTAAATTACACTAAGTTTTGACCTCATATATTGAAGATACATGTATTTGGTACGTAACTAGGCCCTAAATTAGTGAAATTTGTATTGTTTGCTCTAAAGTTTTATCATATGGCATCAATAGCCTATGTAATCGAAATTATTTTTCTTTAAATTAGAAGAAGAAAAAATTAGTACTTCTTAACGATTTCACTACACTATTTAAATATATATTTTTTTAACCAAAAAGGGCTCCTAATTTTGAGCAAAAGTGTTCCACTATTTTCTACCAAATCTTTCTACTTCCTTTTGAAGATTCAACATAACTTGGCTAGTTTTATGTTGAATGTCAAGTTACCAAAACCTTTCTCATGAGAGAGATGCATCATGAACACTTGGATCTTTAGCATATGTCATTCTTTGGTAGGACATGAAATTGAAAGACTTTTCGTATAGGGTTATAGATTCATGAATGGTTGGTTAGGGAACAAGTTATTTTGGGATTAACTATCTCAGGATAAGTTATTTCATTATATATATGAGATAATTTACCCATTATTAAGGTATAAATGGTGGGATAAATAATCTGAAGACTACCTAATACCTTCAACCAAATGTAGGATAAAATAGACCTGCATTATATCTCTGAGATTATTATACCTTATACCTTATACCTCACATCAAACGACTCTTTAGTTATCAATACGCTTCACCTTCCTTCATGCTTGTAGTTGTTGTACACACCGTTGCAGTATACTTCTCCATATGCAGCATAAGGATATTTATAGAAGGGAATATTGTTCTCAATGTTACTGTTAATTAAGTGGAAAGAGGATATCTGAGACTCGGAGGCTAATTCATGATTTAAAGCTTATGAATTCTTACCGCAATAATGAAAATTGGATTCACAATCAAATATATATGAGCAAATAGCTATTAGATTTTCGGAAACTTGAATATAAAGCTTTGGGCCATCATATTTTTTGTGCTATGAAAAATTGTTAGGGTAAAATAGAAAGCTTAAAAATGTATTATTGTTATTCAAAAAAATTACAGTCACATAAATTGAATCGGAGAGAATATATTTCTTTACTTTAATAAATAAATAAGTCTTACAGTAAAATTCATGTGCAACAATTTCCTTCAAAATGAGGAAAACAACTTCAAGTTCTACGAGTGACATTCCATATTAATTGTATCCTTTTAACACAACAACGCCATTTTCACATCCACCCTTGTAGCCCCCATTCCCACCCTCACCCCAACTCCTCTACTATATATTTATCTGAATGATATACAAATATTTTTCTTCGTACCAAACACACCCTGAAACATTTCCTCATTATGTAATTTGTGTTGGTTATAAAAGTATTTTTTTATCGAGTCTTGATTTCTTATTTTACCCTCAACATAAATTATTTATTCTCCAAAATCCAAAGGCAATACATCAATTAAAATGGATATTGAGGAAAATACCCATATTAATCGTTATTTTTTAATGAGCATGTAAAATTGAAAGTAAACAAGTGAAAGTGAATAGAACAGAGGGAGTGATATTCATTTATATATGAACTATTGCTAATTGTACACAACAATGTCAATATGTCCGAGTGGTTAAGGAGACAGACTTGAAATCTGTTGGGCTTCGCCCGCGCAGGTTCGAACCCTGCTGTTGACGTTATGTTTTTTTGTGTGTGTCTACTTGTTCAATTATATATACAAATTATAAGAAAATATCTACAACAATTTTTTTTATTTAAAATGTTTGAATATAAATTTCTTTATTTTACTTTAGAAACAAAAAATTACAGTATATATCATTTTGTATACATTATTATACAGTGAATATATACTATCTGAAAGTAAAAAATTCAAAGCCCTCTTGACTGTTATATATATATATATATATATATTGTATAACTATGTATATTTTCGACTATTATATGATCTAGGAAGGGAAGCCAAATGGTAAATTATATGAAGCTCACATTTAAATTGGTAATAAGACCTAGAAGAATGTATTGATACTATATGTGTGTGGAATTGCCCAAGTTTTCATTTTTTATTTAAAATGTTTGAATATAAATTTCTTTATTTTACTTTAGAAACAAAAAATTACAGTATATATCATTTTGTATACATTATTATACAGTGAATATATACTATCTGAAAGTAAAAAATTCAAAGCCCTCTCGACTGTTATATATATATATTGTATAACTATGTATATTTTCGACTATTATATGATCTAGGAAGGGAAGCCAAATGGTAAATTATATGAAGCTCACATTTAAATTGGTAATAAGACCTAGAAGAATGTATTGATACTATATGTGTGTGGAATTGCCCAAGTTTTCACTGATTTACATTGGTAGTGCATTGAGGAAGCCTATGTATGCATTTTAAATATTGACTTTAGTCAAACTTTACGAGTTCTTAATTTTCAAAATTAAAAAGCTTTCTTGAAATGCATCCCATCACCTTGAAATAATCGTTAGTCAAAAATAACTAACCACATCTATGAAGAGGGTAAAATATGAGAAAAGAAACGATCTGAAGGACATCGTTGCCTACTAAACCACACATTCATCCTCAAACGTAAAGAAATAAAAAGTAGCAAAATGCTAAAAAAAAAATTTTAAATTTTGTTTGTTCACCAAACATTTCATAGAACATCAAACTTCAATTAATTATTTGTTTGTTATCTTTAAATATTCAAAAAATATATTATAAAGTTTTTAAAAATAAATAAAAAGTAAATCAACTAACAAATAAACATTAATATAAACGAAATGATGAACATTTCAAATATTTGGAGGGTTCAATGATTCGATTTTTCAACTAAATATGTGTCTATCAGAAAGAGAAAAATATTTGAATTTTTCAACTATATTGGAGATCCTCAAATTATGCCAATTTTGAGAGTCAATGGATTGACCACTTCTATCTTTAATTAGTATATAATATTCCGTATTTAATTAATTAAATTGACATCCATTTAGGGGGGGGGGGGGGGGGGAATCATAATTAATTAAATTGACATCCATTTAGGGGAAAAAAATTATTCTTTAAATAAAATACTTATATGAAAAGATCTCATTATAGTTCTATAATTCAGAGTATCCTTTCTTAATTGATTTCTTTGAATTATATATTCAAATTTTGCGATCAAATATATTCATTAAAAAAATTAAGTGTTTGCATAATCTTCTCATATTCGAAAAAATAATTCATTAAAATAATGAGTCACCACTGATACCGACTCATCTTATACTACTTCTAGTTGGATGGTAAAGTTCAAGAAGTAGTTTTGCAAATTGGTGTAATTGAAAGTAAGGCAGAAAAAGCTTATGGAATAATTAACACTTCACTATATCTTAAATTTCACACACATTTTTATTGCTTTATATATCTTAAAAGACTCATAATATATAAGATTTTTATCAAACCATGTATTTCCCACAACATTAGTACATTTTATGTGGTACAATACTGATACGACATGTAGAATACAATTTTCTGTAAAAGTGGATAAATAAAAAATGAAGACATAATATAAGTTACAAATTACAAAATGCCATGTCTATAAAAAGACACACTTAGTAGCAAATATATATAATTGATTTTCATAGCCCTCTATGGGATAATAAAATCAATTTTGTGGTAAGAGCAAGTACAATTTTGTGCACCAATATCACTAGCAACACAAGGAGGACTAATTCTTCCATCTTGATACCATTTTTTCCTTTGTTGAAGCAAATCAGTAATGAAACCATCAAGAGTTTCTCTAGTTATGCCTGGCATAACAATAA